GTTTGAAAGGCAAATGGGAAAAACCCATAAAACAGCAAACGGCCATATAATGCAAAACAATTTAAAATTAAAATTAAAACGGAACAGTAGAGAAAATCCGATCAGAATGACAAAATAAACTAAGCATATATATACATATATATATATATACATATATATATATATATAATGAAAGTAAGGTAAAAATATATAGATAGATTAAAAGGCAAAATACTGAAAAACAACAATGCTAAGGGAACAATGACTCTATCTCAGTAGAGATACAAATTTGATAAGCAACAGCTAAAAACTAAATATAAGTAAGCAGCCAGAAATAAAACCAGATTCGGACAACACTAGTCCTTCCTCAGTGGTGAGAGTTTGTCACTTAATTGGTCCAAGAGCACTCTTGCACTAAACATAGCATGCACCAGCTCATTGTTTTCTTTCAAAATCTTAAAATTTCATATTTCATATCCATCATGGATTATGTTTCATGTTGTTTAATACACTGGATAATATGGATATAAAGCTAATACAGGTTATACCGTACAGTTATTAACATTGGGTATCCAGATAATATATTGGATATACAGTACATTATACATAGTTTATGTAATTAATACATTTATGATATATAGTTAATACTTTGAGTGTTTGGTTATTAATTGGGAAAGTAGTAGGTATGTATATTGTTTACAAATTTAATAAATTGGGTATATAGGCCCATAGTTAAAATATTTAAAATATTTTGTAACATGATTGGGTTTCACAAAACCAAGAGAATTTTGTTATACAATACTGTAATCTGTAATATGAGGCTAAGATGGCATAATCCCATTATCATTAGGCAAGGTAATTATTTCAGTAAATACATTGTGTATAAGTTTATATATAAATTGCACCACAATTTCATTACAGTGTTGGTGCCAGTGTAATTTTTACTGAGTTTAATGCTTCGATTGATGCCTTTCAAATTTAAGTGAATTCGTAGATTGTTGGAACTTCTGCGAGATTTTCCCCTTGACACACTCCGAGAGGCTGTAGGTGCCTTTGGCCCCTACACTTCAATCGGGAACATCACTTCCATGTTACAGACTTTCACAGCCCCCCCCCCCTCGAACAAATCCTTGCAATTACCACTGACTCAGCAAGAGAATAGACATATCCATTATAGTAACAATTATATCAGTAATTTATTCATTCATTCACAGGTATACACTGAACTGTAAACAAATTTTATGTATTTTTAACCATAGTTAATGATTTGATTTTTATTGATTGATTGATTGTTTGATTGATTGATTAGTGAGTATTTACCAGTAACTTGGATAACATGCTTGGCCTCAGTCTCAGGGTTTTTGGATCAATTCCCTGAGAGACACTATGGTTTTGTACTCCACACTGTATAATATTTTGGGTATACAATTAATACGTAGTAGCATTGGGTATCCAGTTAAACATTAAATAATATATTGGGTATACAATTATTAGATTTATGTTATACATTGAGTATACATTTTTTAATTGGGAATATAGGTATATTGTTTATAAAATCAATAAATTGGGTATAGGCCGATAGTTGAAATATTGAAAACATTTTGTAGCGACACCAACATAATTTTGTTTATACTGTAAAATGTGCTATAAGGCTGATGGTAAAATCCCATTATCATTAGGCAAGGTACTTACTATAATTCAGTAACTGATTGATTGACTGATTGATCTCAGGGTTCTCCCCAAAAAGACTAAAAACTTTACTAAAAATAACTCACAACCATTCATTTCCAAAGAAGATATAGTAATCTACATTCCTGTAAAATGTATTTCTAATTAATTCACCTAAAACTTGTAGGATTGGTTTATGTAGGCCTATGTATAGCATGTGATGTATTAAATATTATTAAATTTGTGTGTACTGCATGCTTGATTGGTTTTCACTGAACACCTTTGATGTATAAAATTGAGTGTAGATAGACATCTCCATCAGAAATATATTATAAAAATGATTTGAGTTTGAGAAAAACAGAAAAATTATCCTGTTTCATTTATAACTCCAGACATATTCATAATGTATTGTAATTTACTGTATAACTGTTATAATTTCCTATAACATGGGATAGATTACCAGTAGAGGTGATAAGTAGAATTTTTTGCTGTTAAATATTCATAATTTTACTTTAGTTCTGTACATTTCCTTTGTTATAAGATATAATGATATAATGTTCCCAAGACAACTTTCAGAAACATAACTCCATGGTTTCAGATATAATTTAGTGGTGGTTGCAGGGTGTGCAAAAGTGGCACTCGTCTCCCTTCCAGTGGCGGCTCTAGGATGGGGGGGGGGG